AAAGATGTAATTCAGGCTTATTTAAAAGAAGCAAATCTCCCAAAGGTTCCGGAGAATATGCGTCAGAGGCTAAACGAGAATGTTTCAGTGATGGAGATTACAGAGGCAATAAAAAAGCAAAAGAAAGATAAAACACCAGGACCTGATGGTCTTCCTGCTGAATTTTATGTAGCGTTACAAGATACTAAAACTCCAACCTTGAAAGACTTATGTAATGAAATTTTTACACATACAAAAATACCGGACTCATGGACTGAAGCTAATATTACTTTGATACCTAAAGAAGATACTGATCATACACTAATTAAAAATTACAGACCAATATCGCTACTAAATGTGGATTACAAAATCTTTGCTGCAATAATGGCAGAAAGAACGAAAATTTTTTTGAATGAATTTATACACCCAGACCAAAATGGTTTCCTGCCAAAAAGACAGATAAATAAGAAAACCATGTCTTAATGCTGTGTGTGTGCGTGCATATGCTCCTGTGGCGAGGGGGCAGGCATGTCCAGCCTATAGGTGTGCAGAAATTCTGGAAAATTCATTCAGCATCTTCCTGTATACCCAGTTTGCTTTCCCCTTAGCTATTTCACCTGAAAGTTCCCATTTTCCTAGTCTGCTTCTTCTCAACACTGTCTACTGTGTCAGTTGGAAATAAAGAGAAAGATAGATATAGCTTTCAAATGCTCCAAAAAAGCAATTTGTATGATGATCGCTTATTGAATCCCTCTTACTGTCTTATATTTATTTATTGGTATGTTGATTACTGTACATTGCAGATGGTGCAGCTTGGCTCCTACGTGTCTGGTTATTTTTATTTTGGCACAGCCTGTTATCGGGCATCCATTCCACTGATGTGTTACTCCATTAGTGCTGGTTGCAATTTTATTCCACCAGTTGTAGCAAAGGGCTGATGTAGCAATTTCTCCTTCTAGTGGTCATTTTAATCATCAGTAGCTTGTGCGCCAAACTCAAGCACTTTGAAAAGGCTGATGTATTCAACAAAAGGTTAGAGTGCAGTACTGCAGGCCACTTTAGCTGACTGTGTTCAGCAAGTCAGCGGTTCAAATCTCACTGGCTCAAGGTTGACTCAGCCTGCCATCCTTCCGGGGTAGATAAAATGAGGACCCAGATTGTTGGGGGCAATGTAATATATATATATATATATATATATATATATATATATATATATATATATATATATATATAGATATATATATATATATATATATACATATACACACACACACACACACACACACACACACACACACACACATTGCTTACTGTTGTACACCGCTTAGAGAGTGCTTGCACTTAAAGCGGTATATAAGTCTCATAAATAAATAAATAATTATTTAAAAGATATCTCAGGACAAAAAAAATGTATTAAATCTCTTTGGAAGCAAGCATTAATAGCCAGCACTGTTATTTGAGAATAAGTACTGAATGTTAGAGTTGGGTACTTCAAATAAGGTTCCGGAGATATGCTTTTGAATGTGTGGGGATATCCACACAGCACTTCTTAGAGTCAATGTTTTTTTTCCCTCAGGAATCTATGTGAACCTAGAAGAAGATGGAGCTACTTTAAAGAGCTGGCTCATTAAAGCAACCATGTCCCCCTATGGTGAAATGTGGATTTTCAGAAGGGAGGGGCTGCATTCCAAAGGACCAAGAGACAGCAAAGTTTAAATAGTTTGGTTGGGAGAAAAAGTTAAAATGGGTCCTCCTGGCAATTCTCAAAGTATATCTTTAATGATGCAAATGGTTTGGCAAGATTTCTGTCTATGGCTGAGGAGCAATAAGGGAAACTGCTCAAAAGTAACTATCTTTCTTGACTTCTGGAATCTGACACATACTTCCCAGATTTTGCAGAAGCTTGAAAAAGATGCAGCTGCTTTAAAAAGGGTGGTGTGCTTGCACTCTTGTGCATTTCAAAGCCTCTGTTCCAAATCCTTTTTTCTGAAGAATGCACTATAATTCAGCTAGACCTGGATAGGGGAATTGATTTATGATTAACTCTTCTCCTGTCCTTTAGAGCCATAGTGGCAAGCTGAAGCTCTTCTGTTGGGCCCATCATTGTGATTGGGTCACATCCCTTCTGCCATCATTAGAAGTAATCCTCGAATTATGATTCCAATTGGGACCAGAATTTTTGTTTTTAAGCAAGGTGATTATTAAGTGAGTCACACCCAATTTTACAAGCTTTTTTGCCACCATTATTAAGCAAATCACTGCAGTTGTTAAGTGAATCTGGCTTCCCTCATTGACTTTGCTTGTCAGAAGCTGTCTGGGAAGGTCACGCAAAGTAATCGCATGACCCCCAGGATGCTGCAAGGGTTTGCAAATATACAGTTACCAAGTGCCCAAATTTTGATCACATTATAAACATAACTACAAAGACCAGTCTTGGTGTTTTTTCAGTGCTGTTGTAATTTCAAACAGACGCTAAATGAATAGTTATATGTCAAGGACTACCTATATCAGTAATGGCAAACCTTTTAAAGACTGAGTGCCCAAAAACTGGCCCCGTCCCCACTCTTCCTCCCAATCTCCCGCCCCGCCTGCCCACAGGACCACTCACCGCCTCCAGGGCCTGCCGCAGATCGCCCAGGCAGTCCACCAGCACTACAGCGGCCACACCCTCTGCCCGCTCCCTGCAGCATCAACTGCATGATGGGGTGTGAGGGCAGAGTCTTGTCTACGCTGCCTGGCTGCCATGTCCTTGGCTGCGCTGCTCCGCGTGGACCACGCTCGGGGGCGACTCTCCTTCAGGGTGGCTGCTGGAGAGGAGGGGATCACGGGGGGAAGCAAGGTGGGGGCAACGGCACGTTTGCCCACAGAGAGGGCTCTGAGTGCCGCCTCTGGCACCCATGCTATAGGTTCGCCACCACTGACCTATATCTACAAAACAAGTAAAAACAACCAACCAACTATAAAATGTTGGCCTTTCTTCTTGGCTTGCCACGTCCTCCAGTGGTGCATTGAGGGGTATTTTCCATTCACACAACATAAGTTCTTCTTTCTTGCTTTTCAGTTCCTCTTTCGCATGAGATCTCAACCCAACTCCATTCTTGTCTGTATGTTTTGCCTTTGTTTCCCCCTCTTCTGTGCTCCTTTTCAATTCTTCTGTTTTTACTCCCTTGCATTCCTGGCAAGACTTCGCTCCTTTAAAGGCAGGATTACAGTAGATCCACATTTAAAAGACAGCACAAATCTGGGATATAACTCAGGTCTCAGACAGTAAAGATCCTGTGATCTATTTCCACAGGGGGCAACAATGCTACACCCGTCTTTATGTAGTGTGAAAGCCTTCCACTTCTTAAATATACTTAAGTAAACCCCATTACATCTTTGGGGCTTTTTTTTTTTTTTTAAAAAAAAATCCTTTGTAGAAGCAGCCTCTTTTCCATGGCAACATCTAAAATAAGAAGTGCCCTCCTCAACAATCTGGTGAGCATTTTCGTGACTTTGGCCCAAACTGCTGTGGCTACATTTTTAAAGCTTTGTTTTAACTCTTTAAACAAAATTCCTTTTTGGATTACTTACCCAAACTTACTTATTCCACTTAGCAGATGGGAAGACAGACTGATATTTTCTCTTTGCAAAGCTTCTTTTCCTAGAAGGGTGGCAGGAACGGAGAATGGAGAATTACTGCTGCCGAATTCCTTTCCATTGAATTTTTATCCTGCCTTTTCATTGGTTTGTATAAACAGACTCTTCCTGTTTTCCTCACAACAACCCTGTAAGATAATTGAGCAGAGAGTGACTGACCCAAAGTTCCCCAACCCGTTTTCAGGCCTAAGGAAGAAGTAGTGCTCACTGTCAGCTGGTTTTTGTGCCTAAGGCAGGTCTAGAATTCACCGTCTCCTGATGATTGGCTCAAAGTCACCCAGCTGCTTTCATGTCTAAAGCAGGGATAGAATTCATTGTTTCCTGGCGATGGTCTCAAAGTCATTCAGCTGTTTTTCATGCCTAAGATGGGACCAGAACTCACCATCTCCTGGTGATTGGTTCAAAGTCACCCAGTCAGTTTTCATGTCTAAGGAGGAGACTAGAATTCACATTCTTCTGGTTTCTAGGCCAGCAGCTTAATCACTTCACCAAACTGGCTCCCTTTTGAGGTAGGAAAAGGTGGCAAGACCATTTTCATTGATATCTTCATAATAACTCACAACTACTCGGCAAATACTACTCCTACAGAGACAATACAATAAAGCAAAGACGTTTGCTAAATTCCAAAACAGAGGCCAATTCAAAATGAAGACTCGTTGGATAGCAGTGGCACAATAAACACAACAAGGAAGCTAAATACTGCATTGGCAAGAGGGTGGATAGGGGCCAGTGTTGAAAAGAATATTTTTAAAAAGTTTGCCAGTATCGGGTCTGCTTGTGATCACAAATGAAGAGTCAACGTAAATCTTACCAGAGCTCAAGACAGGCAAAATAGGAAAGAGGCAGGTTTACTTTCAAGGGAGATTTTAGTTACTGGTACATGAGTGGAACACCAACAAGGCAGATTCTGGATTCTGCCAGGTGGTCCTCAACTTACAACCACAATTGAAATAAAAATTTATGTTGCTAAGGAAGGACAATTATGACCTTTTTTGCCACGGTTGTTAAGCAAATCATATGATCATTGAGAAGTCTGGCTTTCCCCATTGACTTTGCTTGTTGGAAGCTGCCTAATGATTCTCTGTCACCCACATCATGGTTGTCCCAAATATGCTTTTCCAAAAAGGCAACTGTGTTTTTTTCTTGAAAACATTTTGCTTCCCATCCAGGAAGCTTCGTCAGTTCAGTTTCTTGGATGAGAAGTGAAATGTTTTCCAAAAAAACAAAAAAACAAAAACCCAAGAAAGTCCAGTTGCCTTTTGGAAAAGCATCTTTTGGACATGTTGAGCAAGGTATTGAAAATTTTAAAAAACTGGACGATTTGCTTCATTTGAAGGTGGAGGTGGACTAACTTGCTCTGTTTTGTTGTATCTCATTTTTAGCTTCTGGGCTTTCCTCTTCACCATCAACTCCCACCCAGGGAGCCAAGCAGCCGGCATTTCCGCTTGAATGCTACAGACAGGAACCAGAGAGGCTAGAGACGCGGATTCACACACCCTCTTCTCCTCCAGATACTGGCCAAAGGTTTAGCCTGCCTCCAGGGCAGGGTATTGCCAAGCCGCCGTCCCCAACACCTGTCTGTTGTGTTACCTCAAAAGTAGTAAGTACAGCCTCTGAAAATAAAAAATAAATAAATTGGAAGACCTGTAGCGTGGGACTGATACAGTGCTTGTGAGCATCCAAGCATTTGTCACACTTTGTAGGTGGATGACACTTTCAATCCTTCTACTATGGAGAGAAATATTATTGCCCCTAATTTGCACAAACAAGAGGGGAAACTCAGGCTGAGGATCCATTTTTTGCTTGCTGATGGATGCCATAGAAGTTAGATGTGAACTAAACATCCGTTTTGACTTCAGAGTCTTTTGAGTGGAACCCACTGGGTGAAAGCAAGCTCCACTGAAATGTAAAAATAACCACGCAGAGGATTTCTGTGAAGTCCTTGGTATTCTCTGAGTTTAGTTATTTGCTTACAGACATTTTGTTACCCAACTAGTACATCAGTATTAGTGAGTGTGGGATTTGATCCATGACGATATTCCCTAGATGGGCAATGAAATATCTGCAAGCAAACAACTAATCTTAGAAAACACTGAGGACGCCACAGTTCAGTCCTGAACTAGAAATATTCTATTGTAGAAGATTTCCTTACTTGTCCTGGCTTCACGCTACAGAAGATGGAAGACCTGGTTTTGCTGAAGATTTAACATTAGTTTATTTTTACAAAATGCTTGCCCATGAGTAACTGAACTTCTGTGTGATCACTTAACATTATGATCTTATTTGGTGATCCAGCAGTCACAAATTAACCACAGATTAACCAATAAACTAACCCTGTGATTGATTAGATTGTAATTTAATGGGTCTGGTGAATGTTGATTGTGTGAATGAATGTATAGATTAATCCTTGATTTACAACCATAATTAAGCCCAACATTAAGTGAGACAGTTGTTAAGTGAATTTTGCCCCATTTTACAACCTTTCTTGCACAGTTGTTAAGTGAACCATTGCAGTTGTTAAGTTAATAACACAGATAAGGGAATCTGGCTTTCTCATTGACTTTGCCTGTCAGAAGTTCACAAATTATGATCATATGACTCCAGGGCACTGCAATCATCATGAGTCAATTGCCAAGGATCTGAATTTTGATCACATGATCATGGAGATGCTGCAGTGGTCATAAGTGAGAAAAACTGTCATAAATCATAACTTGGAACATCATTAAATGAACTGTTGTAAGTCGAAGATTATCTGTATGTAAAATGATGGCACCTGAGAACCACAGCTCACGGATATTTGGAATTTAGGCATATAGCTAAGTGGGTTGAAAAAGAATATATCCAAATTTCTATTTCAGCTATCTCAACTTTCAATTGAGACCAAAATTCTGTTGCTAAGTGAGGTATTTGTTAAGTGAATTCTGCCTCATTTTATGACCTTTTTTCCACAATTAAGAGGATCACTTCGATTGTTAGGTGAATCATGTGGCCATTAAGCAAATCTGTTTTCCCCCCATTCCCCCAGTTGTCGGAAGCCAACTAGAAAGTTTACTAAATGGTGAACACATGACCCCAGGACAGTGCAGCCATCATAAATATATGGCAGTTGCCAAGTGCCCAAATTTTGATCATGTGACCATGGAGATTCTGCAATGATATCACTTTTTTCAACGCTCTTGTAAGTTCGAACAGTCACTAAACAAGTGCTTGTACCTTGCAGACTACCTGAAATTCTAGTACACTGATTCCAACACAATACTGTGTTTCATTATCAAACCACAGTGCACTGATGATGTTACCTAGTTAGGTAATGAAACATCTGCAAGAAAACCACCAAGCTCAGAAAGCACCAAAGATCCCTCATTTCAACCTAAGCTATAGATATTGTCCTTTATTAGTACTGTTCTTTCCTCGAATGTTGGTATGATGAAATGATAGTTTATTGTTCTGTTCAACTGTAACTTATGACAGTGCCAGAGGCGGTACTCAGAGCCCTCTTTGTGGGCACGCGTGCCATCGCCCCAGTCCTAGGCCTTCAGCTGGGTTTTATAAAACCTTTTCACTTTAGACCTCCTCTGCCATGTGCAAAAAAAAAAAAAAAAAAAGATTCAATCAATAAATTTCAACTTCTTGCGGGAAAAAAAAGATCTTGCAAAGTTGGATTTGATTGAGTGAACTTTTTAGTCCCACCCAGTCTGCCGTTACCACCGCAGCCATGCCCACCCAATGGGCCACACACATCCCAATTGGCCACACCCAGCCAATGGGCCACACCCACCCGGCACCTGACGATGCATAAGTGGGTTTTGGGTTGCAGTTTGGGCACTTGATCTCTAAAAGATTCGCCATCACTGACCTATGAGAAAGGAAAACAGGCAGAAGGTTGCACTTTCCACAGAATATGATCAAAAAGGTCAATATGGTAGCTATGAAGGTGCAATGGAAGGCTTACTCATTTTTTTAAATGCATTGCACGAAGCCCTTTTGAGTACAGCCCATGATTGGTAAGAAGCGATTTCTTACCTGTGGAATTCCAGTCCTTTTCTCTGAAATATTTCTGCTTTTATGATTTTAACAGTAGCCTAAATAAATAGTTTTAACTTCCAGCATAGATGAGTTGTGGGGGAGCTTTCATTTGCTAAAGTTACTTGCAGCTGAATAAAGTTCAAGGCCCTAAGATAAGAATTGATAGATATCAAATAGGCAGCAATTGTAAATATGAACAATCCTATGAAAGTGGGTGTCTTGATCTATCCTGTCCTCCAGTTTGATGTTCAGCTCCAAAGGAAGTTTGCAGTTTACAGTGAGAACTTCTTAGTAATGAGAGAAAATTTAGCATTCCATTTGTTCCTCGAAAAGCCAATAGTTATTTCTAGAGGATCCATCTGAAGATAGCAAGCGTAACAAAAACATAATTTTGCTATGGGAAACTCAGCCCCTGTCCTGTAAACTATCACATCTTCCTCTGATTCCGTAACTTGTATCATCTCAGTTGCCTAAGATTGTTAGTGTATCTGTTAACAAGAGACCCTGTCTGACTCTAACACATTGCAAAATGTTTTGCGGTATTTATTCAATGTTTTCTCAACACTGGAAACTTTGAGATGTGTAGACTTCAATTCTGGGAGTTGAAGTCCACAGATCTTAAATCTGCCATGGTTGAGAAAACACTGTTTTATGTTAACAACTTAATTCCTTCAAAGAGAAAAGTTTTTCTCTCCTGTAGACTAAGGGTGCTGCTAAATGTGACTCTTTACCTTTAAGTCCACCAAGGAAATGGGATTTTTAGCAGCTATAAAATGGGCTCAATTTCCCTTTCCCCTCTCCTTTTGGAGAACACTCAAAATGGGTGCTGTGTGGTCATGGATGAAAAGGAAAAATTCAGTCAAGGGTGTGTCATTAGACATACAGGTAAGAACTATATCTTTGATTTATGCCTATCCCCAAAAACGCAAGGACTTCAACATTCTTGAATTAAGCTTCTTCATTCATCAATGATTAGGTTTTTTTAGACTACATCAGGCTAAAACAAGATTGTTTTGGGGGGGTTTATGAACTATGTGAATGGGACCATTGCTATTACTTTGTGCTTTAGTATATTACTCATGTCCTTAAACCTAGGTTAGCATAGTGTGTGTACACATAAGCATTGTAAGTAGTCCTCGACATACAACTGTAATAGAGTCGGTCCCTTGTAGTTGTACATCATGGTAGTAAAATGGGTTGGTCATGTGATTTTTTTTGTGATGGTTGTTAAGCAAACACTGTGGTTGTTAATCAAATGAAGATTTGCTATGAGAGTGGTTTTGCCAAAAGTGAAGTACAGTTTTTTGGCAAAACCATCATAAAACATGGTCATGTGACTGGGGTATTTTGCAAACAGCTATAAATGTGGCTGTGTTGCTGAGTGCCCAAAGTTTGGTCATGTGGAGGGACCCCAACCATCATAACTTCCAGTCCTAGTCACGACTTTCCTTTTGGGGGGATTGGTCATAAGTTGAGTACTACCTATATCTAATGTTCATGTAGCTCTCATAGATGGTCCCATTAAAATTACAAACTGCTAGCTAGATTGTTTCAACTCTTCTGGTTTCCTTGTAGTAATTCTTGAACTAAGATATTCCACCCTTGCGCAACATCTTTTCTACTTCAATTAAATTAACCATGGTTTGTTTATTTAACAATCTGCTGAATTTGCAGGAGTCTCTGTATATAAACTAGCTGCACCAACAGGGTTTCTTAACATATTAGGTTGAAATCTTGGTGGCTCAGTGGGTCAGTTCCTTGTATGAATATTGTTATAGTATTTCACCCATGCCCTATTTATTTATTTATGAGACTTATATACTGCTTTAAGTGCAAGCACTCTCTAAGTGGTGTACACCAGTAAGCAATGTATATATATATATATATATATATATATATATATATATATATATATATATATATATATTTACATTGCCCCCAACCATCTGGGTCCTCATTTTACCTACCTCGGAAGGATGGAAGGCTGAGTCAACCTTGAGCCGGTGAGATTTGAACCGCTGACCTACTGAACACAGTCAGCTAAAGTGGCCTGCAGTACTGCACTCTAACTGCTGCGCCACCTCGGCTATAGAATTTTAAACCTTTCTTAGAATTAAGTTTTGTAAGTTCACTGCAATATCCACATAGCCTTGATTTGCATGCTAAAATAACCCTGCATTTGGAATGGTCTTGTATTCCTTCCTTCCCTTCCACCTTTAACCAGCCTTCGGAGAACGAAGACTAACATTATAAAAATTAAGAGCGTTAATGATTCTTATTTAACTGAGAATACAGAGGTTGCATTAAAAGAATTTAGCAATGAGATTGCAAGCTTTTCTTGGGGGGTAGGCAAATCCCAGCCTTATTGGGGCTGCAGAAATCCAGATCACCATTAAGATGCCTGTAGACCACTAGATTGATCAAATTCTTCCATGCCATAATAAGGCTGAAAGAAAACAAATAAGGGATTTATAGTCCGAATGGCCCTCTCTCTTTTTTCCCTAGGATGGTTGATTTCTTCTACAAAAATAGGTATATGTAAATATTATTTGTTCCCAAGGTCCAAAGACTTTC